TGTGGGGGAAAAAGCAACAGAAATTATCCGAAAAGCTCTAAATAGGACCCATTGCCTATCAGGGCTTGTATGAGCAAGCAGCGAGGAGCGAGGAGAGGGCGTGCTTGGACGAGTATCACCTCACTCTCATCATTCGGACTGGAAGGAGCTAGTAGCGTAAAACCGCACCTTTAGAAATCTTCTAGAGATGAAGGTTGGGTGTGGTACGAGGGGGTGGGCATTGCCCTCCTCGCGTTCGACTGGCGTCATTATCGCACATTTTGAAGCCGCGAAAGTGGCGACGAAGGCAATCCGCTCACTGTCTCCTTTAACACCCAACTTTCACCTTTCATTCCTAGAGGACTTCTGAGAAGTGGTCGCTACTAGCTTTTCCCTTTCCAAATAATCAGAGAGAAATGATAGCGGAAAAGAGCTGGTACCGGCCAGGGAGACTTGTTCGAGCACGTCCACTCTTCCTGTATGCTCGTACAAGCTCGGCTCGACAGAGAATTCTATCCCAGAGCATTTTGGAAGTTGTAATTTTAGCCCACTCGCAGCCCAAAGAGATCTGCCCCGTGCAACGAAAAATTTTGGTGGAGGGGGGGGACCTAAATACCAACTAAAATGCTCTGGATAGAATTCTCTGTCGAGCCGAGCTTGTACGAGCATACAGGAAGAGTGGACGTGCTCGAACAAGTCTCCCTGGTCGATACCAGCTCTTTTCCGCTATCATTCCTGTCTGCTTATTTCGAAAGGGAAGAGCTAGTAGCGACCCCTTCTCTCAGAAGTCTCTAGAATGAAAGGTGAAAGTTGGGTGTTAAAGGAGACAAAGAGCGGATTGCCTTCGTCGCCACTTTCGCGGCTTCAAAATACGCGATAATGACGCCAGTCGATGGCGAACGAAGGCAATGCCCACCCCCTTCTCGTTGAGCACCCGTCACCTCTAAAGGCTTTTTTAAAGGCGCGCTTTCACGCTACAAGCTCTTTCCATTCCGAATGATGATAGTGAGGTGCTACTCGTCCAAGCACGCCCTCTTCTGTTTGCTCGTACAAGCCCTAAGAGGCAGTGGGTCTTATTTAGAGCTTTTCTGATGATTTTGTTGCTTTTTCCCCGCAACTGAGCTGCTTACACTTTTTTTTAGCATTCGAGCTCAATTACCCAGCAGCTGTACTCGCGGGACGATAGTGTAAACCGTTCCCACATAGATGTGGACACTTTTCAAAGAAAACTGGACGATTTTCAGATCTAAATGGACACGTTTCCATCCCAAATGAATACAAAGGCAACGTTCCCAACTCGCCACCAAGAAAATTTCCTCATTCACTTTGAAAACGTCCAAGTTGTTTGGGATGGAAATGGCATGTAACTGTGAAAGCACAAATCATAAAAGAAGAACACCTTTAGGAAAAGATCCAGCCCAACCAGCTGAATCAAGGATAAAGAAAAATATCTGAAGAATAAAGAATACCTGCTCGTTCATGTCCAGCAAGACACACCTGAGTCCTTTGTCAATCGTAACGTTTGCAATACCAGCTCCCATAAGGCCCGCTCCAACAACAGCCACCTCTCTGGAAAAAAGAAACTTCTATTTCACATACAATTAATCGTGGGATTCAGCACGTAACGATCACGCAGGTGAACCCCTACGCCGCCCTTCAATTCCTGATAAATAAAGCTGTCTGTAAACGAATGCAATAAAGGAGGTGTCTCAGGCTGTGGGAAGCGCTAGATCCTATAACAGGCTAACAAAGGATTTTCAGCGTCAAGCTTGCTTTTTGAAAAGGGTTTTATACCTTGCTTGTAGGTAGTATACATGCGACCGTTTTTTGCGCGCCTTCTGGCGAGATTAACGGTGTCGCGAGCCTACAATTTTGCAGCGATGTGGCTTTCTGCGGTTTATAGATGACTCGGCCGCTACAGTCTTAAAATTCATAAAAGCAAAGATCTAATTAAACTTACTTGACAGGTCTACCTTCTCCAAATTTGTTCTTTTTGCATTCTGTAGATCCATTGAAGAGTCCAATCAAAGCTTTTGCCTGATAGCTTTGGGTAAGTTCACCAAAGCACTGCAAAAATGACCTCTTTCAGCAAGAAACCAACTGACTAGAACCGAACAAATCTTGAGTTTGCCACTGCCATATTAATAAAAACAGAAAATAAACCTGTTATCCATACGGAATCCTTCAAAAGAATTTATTTTAGTGCACGGACAGACAGCCTGGTGGACGGAGATGCCTAAGTTATGCTCTCTTCCCACCATTGGCTTGCCCTGCACTTCATTGTATCAGGAAAAACGGCGCGCTAACGATAAAGCAAAACGACTGGGTACGACCGTGTTTAAACTATGCGATCCAATCACTTGTCACGCGACCATAACCGCGGCACTTCATCGTCAATCAATAGACCGCCAGAACGGCAGAATGCAACTGAGCCCCGCGTGCACTGTATGAACGCAGCACAGTTTGAATTCTACCGTTGCGGCGGTCCACCGAGTGGCACTGGAGCGCTTCCAGTCGTTTTCTCGCTCGAGCGACTGCGATCGCCAAAGTGCTGAACACCCTCTACCTACTACTAAGTGGCTATCAAGCAATAGGCCTCCGAATCTAAGCGACTACAATCCGAACACGTTTTGCTAGATATAAACCGCATTTCAAAGAAATTGCTGAAGGTGTTTTATCAATGGAAATTTTATCTTAATACTAATATCAATAATTCACAAGACCAATGACAATACCTGTGCTTCGTAGTTGTATCCTTCAACAGGTCCTTCGACTAGTCCTTTACGAACAGTTTCAAGGATTCTCAATGGCGCCGGATAATTTCCAGCTGTTTGTTCATTACCTTAATAATGGTCTTCTTAAGCGAGTACTCGCCACATTATCAGAGGGGGAGGGGGGGGCGGATCTGTGAGGATTCTTTCATGCCTCATGTCAGTGTAGGCCAGCGGCAGCGACTAGGAAAGTATAGGTAAGAATCTAGCGCATGCAGGATTTCGTTGGCGTATGCCGGGCTTGATCAGTAGTACCCGACACAACGACATTCTTCAATTATCCAAGAAAAAACCGCTAAATAAATTCTTCAAATTCACCTTGTCCCTAGCCATCTTCAGCACCACTTTATCGAGAACGAACGAATTGGTGAGAGCCTGAAAGTAGACAGATCCATAACTCGATCAATAACACATTCGATATTCAAATCCCTGCTGATCCCTTCATTAAGGAAGAGAAATTATTCTATGGTGTCGATTGAGAGATCCACGACGCGGCGTTGCCAGCGGTGAAAAGTGCTCAGCACTCGCAGGACCTAATTCATTTACCATGAAGTGCAGCAGTATGCCGGGTCAACCAGCTAGCAAATAAGCTGCTAGTTTCTGCGCAGTGCCGCAACATGGATCTCCTAAGCAATGCCCATCCCTTTGAGCAAATAAGAAACGAGTACTGTTCGGAATACCTTTCCATGAACCAGAGAGAAACAAGTAATATCATAGATATGAGAAACAACTATACCTTGTTCATCAACTTCTGAACCAATGGTTTTTCTCTGGTCACTTTCAACGTTCCGTCTGCTATCTGACGAGCTGTATCCACAGCAATCCTTTCCAGATACCTCAATCAATATACCATAGATCACAGATGTCTACGGGAATCATTCAAACTCACTTATGAGTATTTTCCGCAGCCGGCAGGAGGCCATCACCAAGCGGTTGAACTACTGAATCTACCAAACCCATCTTTTTTGCCTGAAAAGAGATGTCTCTCAAGAGCTGGTACGATGTCGTAATGTTGGTTAGAATCTCTGTCCAACACTAGTCGCTTTCTTAATCATTCTTGAGACAAAACCTGCCAACTACTAAAAATACCCCACAGCTATAAGAAATGACTTTCTATACGATCTATCACAAAGGAATGACTTTCTGTACGGTCTAACACTATCTGTCGCGTTGTTCGCTGCGGTGGCTGGAACGTGTCAAGGGCGGGGGAGGGGGGAAGGTTGGCGCGATGCTAGCCCATTTTCCACCCACTGTTGTTGCTACAATAATTGGTGGATAATGAGTCAGTGCCGCCCCAAACCGACACGCCTCAGCATCCGCAAAGAACGAGACTGTACCCTGGGACTTCTGCTCACATCTATCCGGCTTCTAACCCCAGACTAGAACCTCCAGAGCTATGACTGGTACTCCAAATTTAAAGGTGGTTAGACATACACTTTCTACCACGCAATTGGAGCATGACTGGTAACGTGATTGAGTGCGGTCGCGGGAGCGCAAAATTGGTATTTCGGCTGCTGAAAGGTATATCTTTCGCATGCGCTCACTCCCACTGAAGTCAATGTGTAGTTTTTACTGTTAGTGTGAATACTTTGCGATGAGGGCTAACAAACGCTGGGGTTCGGCACAGGAGCTAAACTAAGGCGCTAGTGTGCTCGCCCGCCTCCTATTTTGGCCAGCTCCTCCACGTCTCTCATACACTTTCAGAACGGGCGGGTAGCAAGTCAACGGTTCGCAGTTGCGTGCAAAGAAGGTTTAGGCATAAAAAATAAATTTTTACCGTATCGGAGCCTTTCACGTACTCTTTCCCGTGAAGCATCATATTCGAGGCGGCTGTGTCGGGGAACTGGGACCAGTTCGGCAGCCTTTGGGTTTCCACCAGCTGCCAGGAAGAAGAGGCTCGCAACAGTTACGCTTGAAATGGAATGTAGATGGAGGCTCCTCAAGGTACTAGGAAGGATTCCAAAGTAATTAGCTAAAATTGACTTCCATGCAGCTACTAGCCACTCAGGCAAAGGCACGAGCTGCGTTTTCCTTGTCATTCACAGCTATACGGTAGTGACATGACATGGCCAATTCCAATCCACCACCCATACAACTTCCCATAATCGCTGCGACAATCGGTTTTCCTGACTTTTCCAGTTTCTCGAACTGTTCTTGTCCTCGCCTACAATTAATCCTCCCTAGAATTTTATGGAGTTTCCCAGAAATGAAATGAAAACTGAGCAGCACTTTGAAATATTGGTACCATCCGCGGGTGTTTTCGCATTTTTCAGCATTGTGACATCGGCGCCAGCAACGAAACTATTCGGTTTTCCCGACATCAGAACGATTGACTTGACCGACTCATCACGTTCCGACCTGAAAACCAAAGCAAGATTAGGATGGTTGTGAAAAAATTAGGCGCAATTCCTAAAAGAATGAGCATTCTGGTGCAGATCACATACGGTATCTTGAATCGCAAAAGAAAGCAAAAAATAATCGCCGCCATTTTGAAAAGATGTATCGGTCCAACCCCCCCCCCCCATAAGTGATGGATCTCTGCCCCCACAAGTTTCTTCATCCATTATCGTAATCATTACCGTAATCTACAATAAATGCACCGAAATGCTGATCATCATAAAAAACGCCAGAAATTGTACGGAAAAAGTAACCTTTTCGAACGTATCCTGCAGCTCTTTGCTTATCGCTTCGTTGAGTACATTTTCCTGAAAATACCGAAATGGAGGTTCAGGTGCACAAAGATGGCATGCTATGAGTTCCTACAAACCTTCGTGTTAGCCATGTCCATTTTAATAACTGCAACATCACCTTGACGTTCCAGCTTTACGTTTCCTGAAAAAAAAACTGGGTTGGAGCCGAGAGTTTTAAATAATGATGTCGGAAACCAGATAGGGTGCTTTCTGAAAGTGTCACACTTTTGGTGCAGCTACTCGAAAAACTCTTTCAGCAAATGAAGAGATGCTAATTCTCCTAGGTTTACTAAAAAAACTTTTTCCGGAGCCAATCATTAAGTCGTCAAATGCCTTCATTGCCCTCCACCAAAACACTCCATCTGCTGCAACAGCGCCCTGGATAGCCCAGTCAAACAGCACTCCTCATTTCCCCAGTTAATAAACAGGC